CCTCATTTCCCATTTCCACCATTTCTCCAGTTCATTTCCAAACCAACCCCCCACCCACTTTTTCCCCTAGCGGCTCCTCGACTAACAAGCGTGCCCAGGCAACGGAAATACTTGCCCCCGTTCGCGGCAAGTGTTGTGGCGATAAGCAGTGCCACGCCTACTCAACCTCAGTGCCCCCCGCCCACCGAAAAGTGCGACCCCTTTTTACTTGGCTCGCACTTGAAACGATATGCAAATGTGCATGTGGCAACCCTCGGGGCCAGGTAAACAAGCGACCCTCGCCAAAACTCTTTTCGTAACTCTTCAACATTCCCAAAAAGAAATAAGAAACAATTTATGTAACGAACTACAGTGTAAGTCAAAGTAATAGCACAACTATTGGGCAAATAGTTTAAAATTAATTCAGAAAACTAAAAAAATGTTTGTTTCAGAGTTTGTTTGTTTCAGATTTCAGGAATATTTAAAATATGATTTTATAATATTATGACATTATATAAAAAGTTTGGATTAATGTTCTTAGCAAAGCGTTAAAGTAATTTTAGAGTTCAATGCTTATAATCGTTTTTAAGACCTACTAAAGTTTGGATTAATGTTCTCAACAAAGCGTTAAAGTAATTTTATAGTTCAATGCTTATACTCTTTTTAAGACCTACTAAAAAAAACTCTGGGAAAAAAATAACTCACTTTTTATATGTATTTATATACTTTTTAAATCATTTTTATGAATTTGCTTAAACAAAAACAGAGCCTTGAACTTCACAATCCCAGTTACATTTTCTCACCCGCAACTGTGCAAAAAGAAATCCTTATCGATAGATTGTTAGGGGGAAATCGATGACAGCGATACGACAGGGATATGGATTGCAGCTAGATATATTCGGGCAGATATGGATATGGACACGGATGATGAAGGGCTGTGCTCTGCATGAATTTCAATTTTCATATAATCAAAAAATGCGGGTAATTTGTGTGTGCGTGGATTTTTGCGATCGATTTTGTTTCCATCGGTTGTCACTCTTGTCACACAAAGGCAACTCTGGCATGCGTGTGCCCCGTCTCGCTCTAACCCCTTTTGCACTCTTCCCTCTCTTTTCCGCACACTCATGGTTTTTCAGAATTTTCCAGCCTGAGGAGGCAGGACATGCAGCTTTTTCTGCGGTTGATTTTAAATTGTCTGCCCAGAATTCGCCGAAAAAAAACGAACGAAAAAAAGAAGGAAAACCCGTCATATGAAAAATGCATAATAAATGAGCTTGATTGCCGAATCGGCGGAAAAGGCGGTGGCGATGGGCGTGGCAGCGACAGTTCAAACACGCCTTAAAGCCTTATTGTAAGGCAACTTTCCGCGGCTTTTACATTGATTGATTTTTGTTCGTTGTTGTTTCTTTACCAAATTGTTATTGCCAAGGCGTTTAACTATCCGAGGGGCGTGGCTATTACAGAAATTGAGTTGTTTTAAATGCAAAAGGGCGGAAACTGAAGAAAACAAACTCTAAATAAGCCATAAAACTAGTGGAAGAACTTTTAATGTCATATGTCTTAGCAATTTTATTATGGTAGATCGTAAAACAAAGTGGCCCAAATGATAAGTTCTAAGTGAAAGAACAAAAAAAAACTAATCTTTTAAAATTTATATCTGTTATGCGTCATTGTACTATAACAATTTTTAAATTTATTACTTTTTTTTGTTGAGTTTTTAGATTCTATTCATGCCGCCTGGAGAGTACATACAATCAAGTGCTGGCAAACAAATATAATTGTTTGTTTTGGGCACGAAAATCATGTCCACAATATGACGACGCAGGATTTTAAATATTTAATGCATTTCTAATTGTGCGGGAATGCACACACATGTGAGCAATTCGCCCACACTAATCTACATTGTATTATGCACGGCATTTATCACAAAGTTGAAATGATTTATTGTTTTCAAATTTAAATTCAGCTCTCTGTCTCTGAATTATGCTAAGTGCTTTGGCATTAGGCAAACCAAAACATGGCTCTACGACAAAAAAAAACAGAAAACAGTAAAACAAATGCATTAAATTGCATTTAAAACTAATTAAAATTGTAGACAAGCACTTACGCTAACATTATTTATTATTGCTTTTGTTGCTGCCTGATGCTGCTTTTGTGGTGTGTTAAAAAGGTTTGTCGTAATGAGCTTACCTGCAATTAAAAGAACAAATAGAGAGTATAATTTAGTAAGCTGTTTTTGAAAAACTAAAATGGCATTAAGGGCATTTAAAGTTCATTAAAATTAAGCGAGAGGGCTGGAAGGCAAAAGAGCCATCCCCCAACTCAATCAGAAGCCACTCAACCTTGGACTCACACATTCCCCATGCACTCATTCATTTATTCATCCATTCGTTCAGTTGTTCACTCTCTTATTCTACGGTTCTGCAGTTGTCCACCTGCCTCAGGTAATTTGTTGCTCAGTGACCAACGGGGAAACAAAGGCCCAGAGACATTGAAACGCAATCCCATGTCGGGTTCTTCTGTGTTAGCTGCATCTTTTCCAAACCAATCCAAACCCTTTTTGTCTCTGTGCGTCCATAAAAAAAAAGAGCAGAGGAAAATTGAAATGACATCGAATGAAAATTCCCGTACGTGTCCCAAACAATATAAAAGCCAAGACCGAAAACCCAATCCCAATCCCAATCCCAATCCAGATCCCGAGATCCATGGGGAGTAATCGCTCTTGCTCCAGCCCAGAAAAAGACAAAAAAGGAAAATCTCTCATGTGGGAGGGACAAAAAGGCAGAAAAAAAATGTGAAAAAGAAAAGTGTCCAAGTAATCGAGCAACTTCAATTTGCTGGCTCTGGTGGAAAAATGAAAATTGTCAGGCAGAGTTTTCACCCGCTATTCCCTATCCCCTTTAGCCCCCCTTTATGATTCCATTTAGCGCCTGGCACGCCAATTACAATGACAATGAATAATTATTCAAGACCAAAGACCAAATCCCGGACAGGAATTTTAATGCAGCAGCTGCTGCTCTCTATTTTTCCCTCAATTTTCGCCCCCCTCCCGCCATTTCACAAATTTTTCCCGTCCGTGCAAAATTTTAATGAAGTTCATCTCTAGCATTCCAGCGAACGACGCCCTTTGTTGTGCAAATTGTCTTAGCCCTGGATTGGGGGTATATAATTCCAATTCCGAATGCAAATGCATTACCATTAACAAAAGACATTAATTACTTGGGAGAATGAAAAATGGTTGAGGGACGGACAACGACGACTTCGCTGCACCGTTTAATTGCCAAACATTTTTGCACATATGCACAAATTAGTGTGACAATTGTTCGGCTGCGTTAATGATGATGATGATTATGGAGCGTTGCTGCCATTTGATATTGCATTACAGCCAAACCATCCGCATATAGTCAGTCAGCCAGCCAGCCAACCAACCACCCACCCAATTGCAATCCAAAATCCCAAACCAAATCCCGTTGACAATTTTCGCCATTAGGTGGGCGACGACAGGAACCATCGGCATTATATCAATTACCCAACGACAGGATACCCACCCAAGCAACCCCCAAAAACGCACGGCCATCGATTGTGAACCTCCTGAAATCGAGCATTGCAATTGATGAAATAATTTGCTGCACTGACATTTTTGGTTGCCATCGATACCGAACCGAAACAGATGCAGATGCAGATGCACAGAGAGATGGTAACAGAGTTTTGGATGGTTGGATGGTAAATGGAAAATGCCTGGACCTGTCGACACGCCCCCCTTTCAAACAGAATGGCTTTGTCCATCAGCTACCACCATTCAGCCATCCTCTATCCAATCCTCTACTATCCAAGCCTCTATTGCGTAACAGCTGCATCAATGATTTGATTTGATTTCCTTAGATAATTGCCAAACTGAAACATGTGCGAGAATTTCGGCCATCCGGAGAGTGTGTGCCTGTCCCAAGGGTGATATTCGATGATGACGGCAACCACTAAGAATTAATCAGAGCGGAATATCAAATTGAGCATCCTAAATAATTTCATTCGCATATAGTTCGAGACCCCAGGAGAGTCCAAGTGTTGAAATGAAGGCATTCATGGGATCTGGGATCAGATTCCGATTTTAATGGCCTGATGATGGATGATTTCATTGGGTTGATTTATGCACACATGTATAGAAATACAGAGTTGTGTGGAAAACACAGCTACTTAAACACCTCCCACAAATTCCTAATGTTATTTGGTTTAGGGTTTTATATTTTATAATTTTTTTTTTGGCGCTATCATCAGGTAAATTCAAGTTCTTGGTTGAGTTTGCCACCCTACCGTTTAACTCGTAAGCTTTTTTGTGAAGATTGGCGCGGTTTTTAAATTTTACACTGTTTTGTTATAAATGTTATAGTTTTTTGTGGTACATTTTATTAATTTTAAGTTTTTTTTTGTTTTTAGGTGTTTTATGTTTATCATTATTATGATTTATGTGACCTACAAACCCTATGCCTCCTGTATAAAAAGTAGGAATTGTAAAAATGTATGATTCCCTACTTTATATAAAATTTGATTTTATATTTTTTTTTTACATTTTTGAATTTTGTTTATTTTTTTCGGATTTTTAATTATTATTTTTCCAGGCTTTGATTTTTTTTTAGCAATTATCTTGCTGTGAAGCTTGTGAAAACGAGTTTAGTCGTTGAGGTACGCAAACACTTGAAACTGTTTCTTGCATTTTTGCATATTTTAGTGTTTTTTTTGCGACCGACTTTGCGTTGAGATAGATGTGTCGTTATTTATTTGGTCATTTCACAGATAGTGAATCGAAATTATCTAATTTCCTACTATGCATATATAATTATCCAACGTCAAATTTAAATCGGTTTTAAAAGCGTCCGGCAACTACTACAAAAAACTTCCGTTTACAACCTTGCAATTTTTTTTTACATCCCGATTAGCGTAGGAATATAAAAGTATTTCTTTTCTTTTAGATGGTGTAAGTGTGTGTGGTATGTATTTTTGGGTTTTGGTTTTTTTATATGGTGATATTTTTTTTTTTTTCTAAGCAAGTGGTGGCTCGGTGGCCACAGAGTCCTCTTTGGAGACCTTGTTTTTTTTGCCAGCACTTTCGCTGCTGGTATCATAGTTTGGTTTTCGATTGATATCACTCCAGATGGCTGTGGTTGCTTTGTCCACCATAAGTTTTGAAGGTCTCGGGGAGGTCATTTTGCTATTGGATCTGGAAGAGCCTCTATTCGCCATCAAATGATGGTGCTGACTCTCGTAGAATTCATTCTCCGAATCCATCGAGGGCTGTTGCATCAGGATTGTGGGTCCGTCGTAGCCCTCGAATATGGAATTAAGATTCCTTGTCGACTCCAGCCTCCGGTAGCTGGCCATAAAGATGGCCCTGATGCGCTCAAAGGTATCCGAATCATACACCGATCTCGCTGTATTCGTCTGATCGAAGGGCTCTTCGATGCACAGCTCGTTCCATTGGTGTATATCGTTTTTGGGTGCCGTTGCGGCGCGACAAATCTCGATGGGTAGAACTCCACCCACCCTTATAGAGATGGCATACTTTCCGTACTCAAACATGCTGTAGTAGTGCAGGAAACTCAGCATCAGCTCACCCAGAGATTGGGTGTTTTCCGACTGAAAGGGAGCAATCACCTCGTTCATGTCCACATATCCAAAATCACTGGGATGCAGGAGTCCAAACTTATCAGGATATAGCTTGTGCAGACATGGCAGCACTGGGGGATTTACTCCGACCTGCAGAAAATGAATGACCATCAGCATGAGGGAATAGCTCGATATGGTCATGTTCTTGGCGTTGTTGATATTGTGATATTGGGCCCACTGCTTCACAGTCAAGGCCATCGGACGAACTCGCCACTCCAGCTGGGAATAGCAGTACAGGAGATGGGTGTTCCTGATCCCAACGGAGTTATTAAAGTTGATGTCCACCTCCACTTTGTGACGCCGGTCAGTGAATCGAAGTATGGGTACCCGGGCCTCGATGAGATTAAAGTCCTGGAACATATTCGTGCGGCTCAGCAGATCCTTCATCAATTGCAGATGATATACGGCCTCCATGCGGGGATCAATGTTCGGATTTGTGCAGGCCAGCATGCAAATATCCATATCCGAGCACTTGGAACCAAAATATGATATAGTAGAGCCTACCAGATATAGGCCATATCTTGGATAGCTGGTCTGCAGATCGGTAGATAATCTATTTTAGCTTTTTATTACAAAAACCCGACTAAACTTACCATGGCCACTGTGTAAATGGAACGCCACAGTCGCATCTTGGTCTTGTAAACGTGACTTGTCTGCTGGGCCCCAAGGAACTTCCTCCAGATGGAAATGGATAGGGGCTCCCATTTGTTCCTGTTGGCCAAGATTTTCGGAGGTCTTTTCATTTCCACCAACTTGGCTCGGAGCAAAAAGCGATCCGCTGGCGTATAACCAAAGAATTCACGCCAATAGCGATTGTGAATAACCAAGGGAAGTTCTTCTTCAATGATTTCTTCTGGCTTTGGGATTTAGGATTGGGATTAGGTAATAAATTAGGATAGGGACAGATGATACAATTTTTATCGGTGACCAAATGTTTAAGGAACTGTAGTTTCGAAATTTAGTAACTAATGGAACTACTTAGGATTATACAACTTTACAAAATCTCCTCAAATCCATAACGAATAAGATTTTATTTTATAAAATAAGTTATTAAAATCTTATACAAATTTTGTCATAAAAAAATAAACCATTAAACAATTGGACACACGAAAAAAAAAGAATTTCGTTTTAAAATTTGGAACAGTACTATTCAGTTCCTGGAAAGGATGGCAGTTAACCTACCGTTATGCTCTTAACCTTAGCGGAACTAGGAGCCATTGCACTTTTGCTGGAGCAGGCGGATGGACTGCAGGAGAGATTGGAGGCCACAGAGATGTTGTCGGGCTCTTCGGTTATCTCCTTCAAGTTACTCTTTCCAGCATCATAGACATCCTGCTGATCTGGGTCCAGTTTGTAGACCAAGTCATCAGAGGGTTGACTCAACATATCCCCGCAACAGCTCATACCTCTGGGACTGAAAGTGGGATGCATGTGGCTCCTGTAACCGTTGATCAGTCCAGTTTGTTGCGACTTCCTCTCCAGCTCCCTGAGATGATGCATATCGCCGTAGGGCACCAGATTTGGGCCACTGAGATCGGGCTCTTGTGCCCCAGTGGCCAAGGCTAAACAACTGACCATAATATCCCGCACCACCGACTCCACGGAGGCTTCACTGAGATCACTCTCGGTCCCATCGCTCTCCACACTAGGAGCCAAACTGGCAAAGGAGCGGCCATCATCGACCTCGGAACTCGGGTGCGATAGCAGACAAGAGTGGGCGTCCAGTTCGGAGGTGTCCTGCTTGAAATTGAACGGCTCCAGGTCGGAGGAGAAGCCGCCATTGGCTGGATCCAGACCCAAGTCAGCATATTCCTGGCGCTGATCAAAGTCCGAGTCCAGCGGCTGCTCGCCCTCCGAGGTGGCGCTGCTGGCCGTGACCGTGGCTGCTCCTCCTCCTCCTACTGCTCCTGCTCCTCCTCCTCCTCCAGAAGATCCTGCTCCTGCTCCTCCTGGCATAGGTACTCCACTCCCTGCTACACCTCCTGCTGCTGCTGCTCCTCCTCCTGATGCTGCTCCCAAAACTGGTGATCCGGATGGATAAACCATATAGTGACCAGGTTGGTAGACATAAGTATCCATATGTCGGGATTGATAGTATCGTGATTGCTGTCGATTGGCAGTGTGTCCTTGATAGGCATTTCCTCCCTGGAACTTGGAAGTCCTACGTCCGCCGCTTTGTGGTCGTTGTGGCGGTTGGTAGTTGTTACTCATTGGAGCTGCTGTGGTTTGAGGTTTCTGCTCAGCTGGCGCATTGGCATTGTAGCGCATCCGGTTCTTATAAATGCGATTGGATTGTTTGCTGGGCGATATCGAGGTACTGGAACTGGTGGGATGCCTGTCCAGTTGGGACTTCGAGGAAGAATTGGACAGGGAGCCGGAAGAGTGGGAAGTCTGCTGCTCTTTGCCCACCGAATTCTTGCCGCCTTTTTTGGAACTGTGACGATTTCTGGAAAAGTTGTGGGTTGAAGATCCCTGATTGCTGCGATTGTTGGCCGAAATCGCTGGCTCATTGGAGCTGGTTGCTACTGTTGCTGGAGTAGCTGCTGTGGCCACTGCGGTGGTGGTTCCTGCTCCTCCAGCTGCTGCTGCTGCTCCTCCAGCTGCTGCAGCTCCTGCAGCTGCTACAGCTCCTCCGCCTTGATAACTACGGGGATTTGCCACAAATGGTGTTTTGTATCGAGGTCCTCCACCCATTCCTCCAGTGATGCTGTTGTAGAATGTCTTGGAATCCCTGTGGTACACAGTTGTGCCCGGGGTAGTAGCCACTCCCTGTCGTCCCGATCCCAAGCGATCGCGGTGTGCACCTGGTCTTCCGTAACGCCATGGGTTGCTCACCTGAGGAGTATTCGCCAAGCTGGGAGGGGCTTCCTCAGTAGCTTCTCCTGGAGCCGCCGGTTGGGCCAACAAATGTGGCTGTTGGGTGGTCACATGGCGACTGGTCCTCGAAATTCCAGGCACCGTTGCGTGTAATCCCGCCGTGGCCTGATTGTAGTAACCCGGATAGATAATCCTCTGACCATATGGATGCTCAAAGCCCACCGGCATCATGGGTATTCCAAATTGCGAGGAATAAGCCTGATTATAGGGATAATTCCGATCAAACTGCCAGACGGCATTCTCCGTGTGCCACAGACGTCGCTGGGGTCCAGTTGGCAGGTATCCCTGGTAAATGAACTGGGCAGCTGGTATCCCGCCCGCTGCACTGGCTGGTAAGGAACCGGATGAAACAGATCCCGTCACTCCTTCTGCTCCTGATCCTGCGGAGGAACTCGCCGTTGTCAGTGTGGTGGTTGTTGCAGCTCCTGCTGCTGTTCCTCCTCCAGGAGCTCCTGTTAGACCCACTCCGCCGGCATAACGAATTCCCGACGCACTGCAGCCAGCGGAACGTGGTGTTGGCACGCCCATGGTGGAGAGCAAAGGCATATGGGTGGTTAGTAGGGGTGCAGTGGTTCTCAAAGTCCTTGGCGTTATGGAAGAAGGCGTGGGTATATTCAGGGTCACACCAGCCATGCCACTGCCAATCCCGTAGAGAAACTCCATGGAGTACTTGTAGCCACCCGGTGGTCGGGGACAGGTGTGCACCACTGTGGTTTTGCGTTGCCTTCTTGGTTTCGGGATACTGACCTCTAATGGTGGTTCAAGGCCTTCTGCCTCATTCCTTCCAGATTCTTCGATTACCAAAATTGGAGCTGGTTCTATTAATCCTGCTCCACCTTCTCCAGCCGTTGGTGTGGTCTTCGTTGTGGTAATGGTGTTCATGGGGTTGTTGGTGGTTATGGTGGTTGTTGCCGGAGACGCTGTGGTGTTTGTGGTGTTGCTAGTGGTCGTCGTTGTTGCTGCTGCTGCTGCTGCTGCCGTGGCACTCGAGGATGCCGCTGCTGCCATTGCCAGGGCAGTGGACATTGCTAGCGATACGGCCTAATCACGATCCAAACGACATATATCTATATATTGGGCGTACGCAAACGCAGATTGCTAAAGAATATGTTGTGTGTCCGGTACCTTAATCTGTCACTCCTAGTAAGCAAAGAGTTGACAGCAAACTGAACGCCAAGCGAATGGGTACTCGATTTTTGGGGATCTCGGATAGGTGAAATGGGGGCTCTAGAAATAGCCAATAGAAGGATTATTACATACAAAGTGGCTGGAAAATGTATACCTCAAAGTGCCGCTCTTAAGGACTTCATTATGTCTTTAGCTGATCGCCCCAGTTTCGTTAATGATTTTATCTTGTTTTAGAACTGCTCTAGGCTTCGGATTTCTCCCACAATTTGTACAGAAATTTTACACAATTTTCACTAGGGTTAATCACGACACACACAAGTAAAAAAATTTTGACTGTCATGTGTGTAAGTTCGATGGCATTCTGGCCCACAGTGTTGGTAAGTGATCCATCGATTGTTCTTTAGTGTTGGGCAAAAAATAAAAAGCAAGTGGCGCTCAAATTGAACACTTTCACTTCAAAGGATTTTGTACTTGGTCTCTGGGTTTTAAGGATTCACACTCTCTTTTTCCGGGTGGCAATCCTTTCAACTTTCTCCACTCACCACTTGAGCTAAATTTCCTCTGACGCATTGACTAAAACAAAGGAGGCTTTTGCAAAAAGCTGACACATTTTTTTTTCGAAACAAGGAGAAAATAAAAGCAGAAAATCTGCGCCATCCACTCAACATAGTTCCATTCACAGTCGGCTCAGACTCCATTTTTTCCCTACGCTTCCTTTGTCTCCGCATTACGTTTACAATTTGATTTGCTTATGTAAATTATGAAGATTGCCCACAAAAAGTAACCGCAGCGCCAAGGATTCAAAAATTCAATTCGATTTGCCCGGCTCAGCCCAAAAAATGCAACCGAAAAAAAGAGAAAAGAAATTGCGTTCTTCTGTAATTTGAAACAAATCAAATTTATTACCCCAGACGCAGCGGCGCCATTGGCAATTTTCAGATGCGGCCAGATGCGGTGAGCATATGAAATGAGCCATGGGCAGGGGGCGGGTAGGGCGGTACAGGGGAAGCGGGTTGGAATTGGTTTAGTCTACGTGCATATTCAGATACGGGGCCCCGAACGCTCACATATTCTAATTAGATTTATAACGCAACAATAACTGTGCTCGTCCTCCCATTATTTCCCCCCTCCACGGCCAGATTTTCAAATTTAAAAGTTTCCATGAATTATGGTCAGGGCACAGGACAAAGGGGTTCGGCAGATGCACTTTAAAAAGGTTTTTATAGTTCCATAAAAACATTTGTTTCGAAATCTAAACATGTTTCGATATTAACACATTTTTAATGTAGTATGTTCTATATTTACAATTTTGTAATATAATTTACTCCATTTTGGTTGAAAAATTAATACTTTTAGTATAATGCATTTTATATTAGCATCCAAAAAATTGAATTTTTAAGATAATAATAGATTGGTATTTTAAAATGAAATAAAATAAGTATGTCAGTTCTGTAAGAAAAAAACATTTGCAGTAAAATGCATTTTTATACAATCGTTCTCAAAATTTTAGACCCACTAAAGGGCCAAAACAATGTAAAACACATTATAGTATTTTTTCGAGTGCATTTAGTCAAGTATAAAGATAAACCAACAAAGATAGGTCTCTCCGCCATAAAACTTTACGTGGAAATCGGTTGAGTCATGCCGTATTAGTGGACTAGACCCCTCCGCCTCGTAAACCCACTGGTACTGCCATCCTCCTCATTTAATGCTGTGTGACGCGTGTTACAGATTTTCGATTTAGCACACACCCAGAGACATTTTTTTTGGAACCCCCCCTTTGCTGAACTAAAAATTAGCCCCGAAACAGAAACGGCCAGAAAAAAAGAAGAAAGTTTCATATTACATGCAAGCAATTTGGCAAATAAACTGTCAGCAGCACTGAGGGATATAGAATAAGAAAAAAAAGTGGGAGGCGTGTACTGTATACATATAGTATGGTATGCAATGAAGACGCTTGGGCCAGCCATCGATTGAGGGCCTGAATAATTCACAGAGAGCCAAGGAAAATGCCGTGGCCCGTGTCCCCGGGGGAAAACGGAGGATAAATAAGGCAGTGGCCAGGGGTGGAGAATTCTGAATGCTGCGTGGGTCTCCGGGGTTGGACGCTCACATTACCAACCCACCCAAAAATACCTATTTCTGTTCCCGAACTTTTTTTTTGGCTTGGTAAAAATCCTACGCATTGACTTTTTATTTTGCCCAAATCCATTTCGTTATGCTAAAGACAATAAAGCGTGACAGGTAATTAGATTTAACTAATTTCGGTTTCACTTTTTATTGCCAATCAGTGATGTAACGAAATCTTGGGCCTTTTTTTTTATGCTTTCCATTTTGGTTAATAATTTTATTAGTGTTTCCCTTGTCAAAGTGGCGGAGTTGACAGCCGAATGCCGCATTGCAACACTGCCGCCGTATACATTTTTGTATCTGTGGACTCTCGCGGACTGTCCCTTTATCGGGATGTGTGTGCGAAAAGCAAATAATTAATAATTCATGCAACACGATTGACAGTGCGCCCCAGTTGAACTCGTTGCCCCGGCCGCCACTGGTTGGTCCTTTTCTTTTTTTTTTTTTACTTTACTGTGGTACTGGTTGGGCCTCCTTTTTATTTGTGGCACGCTCATAAATTTACAATTACACATGCCAGAGTGGAGCCCGGCGGTGTTGCCTCCTTTTGCGTTGTTTTTAATTTAATAAATTAATAAAACGGCAAACGTGACAACACTGGCAACACTGCCATCAAAGTGGCAAAGTGTTGCCATTTGCATTTTTAATGCACTTTACCCTGCAACTCGGCGCGTAAAAATAATTATCAACTGAATCGACGATGAGTTGGTGAAAAACCGAGTGAGACAGACAGCGTTCCAATTGCAGTGAAATTTTTAATTGAATTTTCTCAACATGCGTGTCAACTCTGACACTCTTGTCAAAAGCAGCACCGCGACTGTCTATTTCAGCTCAAATATTCCCAAATTCAATTTCACTTTCAATTGCAGTTAATTGCCGGCCCCCAAGCTACAGAAAAAATGAATGAAGAGTAGAGAAGGAAAACCAAATTTAAACTCCAGCACGGACAATTTATAAGTGCGGCGAAGGGAAAATTGTACTTTTCCTTTTGGCACACTTTGACACACAATGCCGAGACTCCCCGGTTCTCCGGCTCCATGGACACTCACTCACTCACCTGCTCCCTGCAGTTAACCCTAATTACGGGCACAAAGACCCAGCCCCAGACAGCCGGCCAGACTGGTAGACAGACAGCCAACTAGTAGCACTGGCAGTAGTTAAAATATTTAAGCCACAACACAGCGAGGAGAAAAATGTAAGTAAGATGGAATGCTGCCGCAGGCATTAAAATAATAAGGATAAGGAAGCGGTTGTTAACCACGAAACCGCTCAAAAATGAATGAATGAATGCCGGGCAACCAGGAGCTGCTGCTGCTCCTGGAGTCGCGTGCTCCATTCTCCGGGCCAAAAGAGTGGAGTTGAGTGGAGTGTGACTCCTCGGCTCGTTCGGACTTTGTTCATTATGCGTTTCCTGTTTGCATAAGACCGAAAAAGGAACAAACCCCCCATAGTAATTGTTCTCCGCCACTGCGGCTGGCAGCCAGCGATGATTCCACCTCCTCCTGGTTGTTCCTGCCCCATTGTGCCCGGCGTTAAATTTCGAAAGTTTGCCCTGCCCTCCTGCCAACTGCCTTCTTTTCGAGCCTTAAGGCTATTTGACAAAATGAGAAAACGGAGCGACCCGGGAAAAAAAAGTGAAAATTGCATTGCTGCGCGACAGGAAATAGGCGAGCGTTTTCATTTTCCACTTTTTCCTCACTTTTAATTATGCAGCGAGCTAGATTTCAGTAAACATTGGAGCGGATTGGTTTAGTATATACTCGTATAATATTTAGCAAATGGAATTGAACAAACAAAAAGTTATATTATAAAACAACATCGAGTATTCGGCATGCCAAGTAAATATTATAGTTCAAGATTGGAAATATTGTAATAATAGAGATGGCTTGGAAAAGAAAATAACAGCATTGATTGTTGATATATATATTATATAAATATTATAGTTCAAGATTGGAAATATTGTATTAATAGTGATGGCTTAGAAAAGAAAATAACAGCATTTATTAAATGCATTGTTGAGATAAGAAATATGTATTAATTTAATACTCAGAAATTACTCTTCAATCAGAAAAAGGATTCTTTCTAATAGATCTCATGGGGAATGATCTATTTTTTAAATTTCATTAGATATAGCAACAACAAAATGTCATTTATAAAACATTTTTCCCATTTTACTTTCAAATTTTCAATGAATTTCCCAATGTTTTTCCCTCCAAAGGGCATTACTCAATGCCACCTGGCTTACGACTCCACTTTAGTCATTTGTCCAGCCCCCCAAACTAAACGTATCCGTAGTATTCGGGCACTAATGAATTCACCTTACCGAAAACTGTGCCACATTTGCCTGATTAGCTTCTCAGCTGTTGTTTCTCGTGAAGTTAATGCAATCCAAAGCCCCCATTCCCATCCACCCACAGGTCCACAGGCCCACTGACATCCAACTTACGACCCACTTACACAGAACCAACGGGTCTCGACAATGAAATATATTTTTAATCAAGCCAAATCGAATTCAAAGCAATACACCGGTGCCTCATTATTTAGGCAAATGTTTGGCCATTAACTACACACAAAACGCCCAGAGTCCGAGTATTGGAGAGTGGTGACGATGAGGACCCTCCCCCTCTGGGAGCCCCGAAAAATTACAACCGAAAACAAATTGACAAATGTTGCCACTTAATGTGCCGGGAATAAAATGTTAAACAATTTCGTGTTGCGTTTTTCGTATGCCAAAAATATACAAACTAATTAATAAGAGGATAATATCGGGGGAGGATCGAAGAGGACCGAAATTGAGGGCCCATGGGGGAATTGAATTTAGTGAGTGAGTAAGTGAGTGAGTGACTGCCACACTGTTGGATTTTATTTGATTTTGTAAAAATTTAATTTCAACCCGGAATTCTTTCTGGGGCGGCAATTTTTCAACGCTGTCTTCGCTGCGGAGTGACTGACTCGCCGTGACTTCCTTCAGCTTGCCAGGGGAATTTTGCATTTTGTTTGAATTATTGCCTTCATTAAGATTGCGTTGTTGATTTGCCCAGCCCCTCTGCGTTTTTATACTTTTTCTTCTGTATTTTCCTGTGAGCGACAGCGTGACTCCACCTCCATCCATCCCCATTTTTGCGTATTTCCCAGAGTTTCTCCCTTTGTTACACCTAGACCTGATCCAGACTTCTTTTTTTTTGGTTGG